GACCGGTTCGGGCGCCGACTGTACGATTGCGCAAGCAGGGACGGCAACGGATGGTTGCCGGAAGATATTGCAGGAAGACAGTAGTAACTGTCAATATCACTTTCCATATTTTCACAGATTCGCTACAATCTAAAACCAGGGACTCCACGTCCTCACCTTGAGAGCAGAGTTGAATCACAAGACACTGCTGCGCTGGTTCCAGGTACCGATGGTTCTGGAGCCAAAGCTTCCTTTCCTTTGCTCCGCTCGGGCCTGAGTTGTTCCGCGCCTTTCGCATCCTGATGTCTTGCAAGCGGCCACGATCCAGATTACTCCAATGAGTGACTTCAAGATGTCACCGTTGGAAGCTGCAGACCACAACTCGGAGACAGACTACACAAGTCAGTCAACACTGAGCGAGAACTGGAACCTTGGCTCTCCGGCCCCTTCATACTCCAGCACTGGTACTCTGCCTTACGGAGCCCAGCCTTCACAGGAAGATGTAGTCGGGGCTCCATCCAGAGCTCCGACAATATAAATTGTATATGGATTGCTGGGGCGAACCTCCGCACAATCAATATTGTTACAATTACAATATTCCACTCAAACAATTGCAATTCCCAGATATAATTGTACATCGTTATGTTAAATCTACCACGGGGCTGAACACAGTACAGTACTAAAAATTAACGCAGCCTTCGTGTTCTGAGTGGGCAGGGAAGAGACTTCGATTTCATTCTCCAATCTACCCACCTCATCCAATACCTCTACCGAGCTTCAAAGTTAGCCAGCATGTCGATGTCAATCACGTCTCAAGGCCCGAAACTGAAGTCCAAGGTGATCGTGTAGATGATGTTCAGAGATCCAGAGCCTCGTGGACAGACATATAAAGCCTGCAACCTCTTCATTAGACAGGTCAAGACAGCTGGATACACCAATTTGATAAACCACCTAGCGTCAAAACACTCCGGCTACGAAGACGTTGTTCGGCAATGCATGCGTGACAAGCGGAGCGTTTCAATGGACATGTTCGTGGACCAGGACGCCCTGTCGACTCACCAGTGGATGAATCTTGTTGTAAACAAAAACTTCTCGTTCACGGCTGTAGATGATGGCGTTGTGAGATCGGCGATAAAGTGCTCGAATCGCAAGCAGATGAATGCCCAGGACGCCACATAACCATGGAGACCAACTCAGAGCCTCGACCGAAACGAAGACGAACGACTCAAGAATTCCAGAATGCAGTTACCGGACGAGCGACCGCTAGAGAGAAATCACGCTAGAAGTACATGGATCTTTCTTGGATACCAGCTACGTCTGTCGAAGTAGAATGGCTCTTCTCAAAGATGAAATGCATGCTGGGTTATCTTAGGAAGAGTATGAGCAAAAAGACACTAGAGGTAATCCTGTTCTTACGTATGAACTGGGATCTCGTAACGAATGAGATCACAACCAAGGCAGTCCGGAACGCCAGAGAGGAGGACATCGTAGATGAAGAAGAATGCGATGTAATAGAATAGCGTCGATTTTTTTTCCTATACAATATTGAGCAATTTCCAGTGGAGATTGACGAGGCCTTGACAATCAATATTGTTCTCCTACAATATTGACAATTGTACAATTTCAATGTTTTTTTTTACCGAGCCCTGGGCTCCATCCTCTCCACCTCGGACCAAGTTTCCTCAAGAAGCCGATGGGGCAGTTCCACGATCCCCACGTCGAGTCGTGGCAGTAGCCCCGCGTCGCTATCTCTACGTCGGGCGTCAAAAGGTGGACATGTGGTACAAAGAGTGCTTCGAGTCTGACGGCTACGACTCCGACGCAATCGAGCAGATTGCGACTCCACCCCGTCGAACTGATCGAGTAAATGCGGGTGCATCAACGAGTCCTTCTCCAGTGGAATTAACTATCTTCGATTCGCCTGGATTCGTCATTTCGGGGGATACTGCGGTCCACTCTTCGCAGGATGAATGGCGCCTAAACTATTGGCTCATAGAAATCAAGTTTCTCAAGGTCCAGTACAACC